TACCTGTCCCAGTTATTTTGTTCTGATGTGGTTGTCGATGCCCTGGCAGCCCCAGCCAAAATAAAATATTGTGTATGTTACGGACTTCGCCAGGGGTCGATCCCTGGTCTATCTTTTGCTGTTTTGGCTGCATCCCGTTCTCGGCCTGGCACCCTTTTTCCAAACCCCTCGTTTGGTACCATAGGATTTTGGACAATTGGCGCCATGCTGCAATTCGGGCGCCACTTTCAAATACTGCATTTTTCAGTTCTGTCCTCGGGGCCTTTGCAGAAATGCCCCTGGTACCGTAGGTGTCACCGGTACTTATACCGGCTCCCCGTACGGTACGGGGGGGCAGTCTCGTACCAGTTCTCTGCTGCTGTACTCGTACTCAGTGTGACTTGCTGTTTCGGCATTCGGAATCCAAGACTTCGACTTTGTGCCTTGCCACTGTGTCTGCGTCCGGTCCTCAGTCCGAGTCCGTCGTGTCGAGTGAGTGAGGGTGTGTGTGAGCTCTCCCTCTCTCCCTCTCTCTCCTCTCCCTCGGCTCACCCTCAGCCTCATGCTCGTTACAGACAGAGAGGTGGAGAGGGAGAGAGATTGCGCGGGCAGGGACAGCGAGAAGGGGGGGAGCGAGGAAGAATGGGAGAGATCGTTGGCAGGGAGCAACAGCGAGATCGCACGCGGTATAGAGACGGGCGTGATCGCAACGAGAGCGAGAGACACGTGCAGAGGGAGAGAGATCACGCGGGCAGGGGGACCGAGAACATCGCGTGCCAACGTGGGGGAGCGAGGAAGAACGAGGGAGATCGCCGGCGGCACGCAAGAGCAATATCGCGGGGGCAGGAACACTGGGACACATCGTGTGGGAACGAGGGGAGCGAGGGAGAGCGAGGGAGATCACTGGCGGGGAGAGGAGGCGGTAGTGCGAGGGGCAAGAGGAGGTCGAGCAAAGGAGAGGAGGAGGTTGGGAGAGGGGGAGGAGGTCCGCGAGGAAAAGGAAGAGGAGGTCATGTGAGGGGGGGGAGGGGGTCACGCAAGGGGTAGGAGGAGGTCGGAAGACGGGGAGGAGGAGGTCGCGCGGAGGTTGCAAGGAGGTCGCACGAGGGGGAAGAGGAGGTCTGAAGACTATGTGCGAGGGGGAGGAGCAGATCGTGCAAGGACGAGCAGGAGGTCGAAGAAGGGGGAGAAGGAGGTCGGCAGAGGTGGAGGAGTAGGACAAAAATCATGATGGCGGGAGAAGGATCGAGGATGGAAGCAGAGGAGGAAGGAGTGATCTTGATGATGATGGCAGGGACCCTCATGAGGACGGCGACGACCACAGCAATGGTGGAGGAGGGACGACGAGCAGGAGGAGGGGCCGCGATGTGACCGCACAGACACACAGCACGCACACGCGGTGATGCAGGAAAGAGGAGGGGGTTGCTTTGCAGAAATTTTGACTTATTTTTCCCAGTTATCAATCTTTGGACTATGTGTGATTACGTCTGTTTTTTTTTTTTTTTCCCCGCAACTTCGCCACAGCGTAGCAGCAGGAGGTCCGCTTGAACTAAATAAAGTTTAATAGACACAATACGAAACAATTAGTTACAATACTTAATTTCCACCTCAGCATTATAATCATGGCTACGCCGGACCCGGACCCGGACATTTCCGGACATGGAACCGGTAGTTTCCGGGCGTCCGGAATTCCGGACATTTCCGGACCTCCGGACATGGGGGGATCCGGACGGTCCGGATGTCTGGACAGGTCCGGAAATGTCCGGACCATTAAAAAAAAAAAAATCTGAAAAAAAAGTATGCTATGCAGAATAACAATGCAAACCACTTTTGCCTCAGAGTCATGTCAGAATTCCTAACCAAATTTGAGTTACAAGTCTAAAACTATAAAAAGGCTTTAACTAATAAAAGGTAATGAATTATTAATAATTAAAAAAATGGGGTTGTCTAGTAAATTATTATAGAGAGAGATCTTGTCCGGACCCCCCAAAAAAGCATAAACGGGCCTGGAAAACCCCCAAAACAATTTTGGGGGCTTGGCTCCTCAATGGGGAAGGGTCCTGGACAATTTTTATTTTTTTTTTCCCCTCGAATTTTGGCAGATCCGGACCTTCCAGACCGGACGTCTGGAGTCCGGACTGAATCCAGACCGTCTGGACGGCGGTCCGGACGTCCGGATCGTCGCCATGATTATAATCTCCTTGGTCCTTTAAAATTTTTATGGAAAAAATAAAGAAAACCTTATTTAGTTGATACGAGTAGACAGTGAATCTGGTCATGCAAATGAACATGCACTGTCAACGATCACCACAAGGCGGCGCACAGGAATTCATCCGATAATGTGCCTTCAATTGCCAAGTGTGCGTTACATTGCTGAGGAGTACACGTCCATTACTTCTTATGTGGTGATTAGACAAGGGTGTCATTCCCCAACAGCAAACCAAACCCCTCCTCTTTTTCAGAGGTACACACAACGGGTCGATAACTATAAAGCAACTGCAGCAACTCAAACTGCACATGCAAAAAAAAAAAAAAAAAAAAAAAAAAAAAAAAAAAAAGTTAAAAAAACAGCATACGCACCACAGACTTCGCATCGACTACAATGAGGCGGTGCAAAACAAAAGCGCTAACTGCGTACGCACAGAAAAAAAAAAAAAAACTGTGTTAAACTCCGGACCGTCCGGTGGCGTGGCCTTCGTCTGGCAGGTCCAGCTGCCCTGTCGAGAAGCCCTCCCCGTCGTCGCTGCCCGTGAAGCTGCTTTTGCCATCATAGTGAACCCTCCTCCACCTCTTCCCTTCCTCTTCTTCTTCTTCCTCTTCTTCTTCTTCCTCTCTTCCTCCTCCTCCTTTCGTTTTCTTCTCCTCTCCTCCTCCTCCTCCTCCTCCTTTCCTCTTCTTCTTCTCTCCTCTTCCTCCTACTCCTTACTACTCCTCCTCCCCTACTCCTTTCTCCTCCTCCTCCTTTCTTCTTCTCTCCTCTTCCTCCTCCTCCAACTTTCTACTCCTCCTCCTCCTCCTCCTCCTCCTCCTCCTTTCTTCTCCTCCTCCTTTCTTCTCCTCCTCCTCCTCCTCCTCCTCCTCGTCCCGATTTCATTGGACTTGTTCATTAGGCGAAGTGCCGCATCGCCACGTCAGTGCGCTGAAAAGCGCCACTTGTCGGGATAGGCGAGATGCGGTGAAATCCCGCCGCTAGTTAACCTATTGACGGGCGGGATTCCTCTCTCTCTCTCTCTCTCTCTCTCTCTCTCCCCCCCCCTCCTCCTCCTCCCTCGTCGTCTATTTTTTTTTTCCGTCATCGCCATACAAAACAGGCAGGTCCTCCTCCTCCTCCTCCTCCTCCTTTCTTGCCCTTCTCTCCTCCTCCTCGTCCTCTCTTCTTCTTCTCTCCTCCTCATCCACCTACTTATTCTTCTCTTTCTCTCCTCCTCCTCCTCCTCCTCGACCTCCTTCATCGTCGTCTTTTTTTTTTCCGTCATGCACATACACTACCGGCAGGTCCTCGTCCTCCTCCTGCTCCTCCTACTCCTCCTGTCTTCTTCTTCTTCTCTCCTCCTCGTCGTCCTCCTTTCGTCTTGTCCTTCTCCCCCCCCCTCCTCCCCCTCCTCCTCTCTTCTCTACTCCACCTACTTTTTTTCTCCTTCTCTCCTCCTCCTCCTCGACCTCCTTCATCGTTGTCTTTTTTTTTTCTGTGATCCACATACACTACCAGTAGGTCCTCCTCCACCTCCTGCTCCTCCTCCTCCGCCGCCTCCTTTTGTCTTGTTCTTCTCTCCTCCTCCTCCTCCTCCTTCCGTCTTCTCCTCCTTTTGTCTGTTCGCTTTTCAAGTCTCTATCTTCCTCCTCCTCTTTCCTCTCCTCCTTCCTCCCCTCTCCCCCCCTCCTCCTCTCTTCTTCTTCGTCACCTCCTGTTCCTCCTCCTCCTCCCGTTATCTTCTTCTTCTTCCTCCTCCTCCCGTTATCTTCCCGTTATCTTCTTCTTCTTCCTCCTCCTCCTCCTCCTCCTCCTCCTCTTCCTCCTCCTGCTTGTTCTTCCCTCCTCCTCCTCCTCCTCCTCCTCCTCTTCCTCCTCCTGCTTGTTCTTCCCTCCTCCTCCTCCTCCTTTCGTCTGTTTCGTTTTTTAAGTCTCCTCTCCTCCTCCTTCCCAACTCTTCGTCTTCTTCCTCCTCCTCGTCTTTTTCTACCCTCGTCCTCCTCCATATCTTACCGCCCACCATCTCGCATATCTTACCGCCCACCATCTCGCATATCTGCCAGTCATATTGTACTGCCCGCCATATCGTACTGGGTGCTGTCTCCGGTTCACTTTTTTTCCCCCGCCCATATTGTACCGGCAGTCAGCAGCAGCTTCTTCTTCTTCTTCCCTTCTTCTTCTTCTCCTTCTTCTTCTGCTTCTTCTTCTTCGGATATTTGTACTCTCTTTTTTCCCTCGCTGTTGGTCCTTGCATCCTCTACTTACACGACACTATGGCGGGCGGTGGTAGCGGCGTCGGCGGGGGGAGTGGCGGGTCTGGAAGGACGAGAGGCAAAACGGCAGTAGACAAAGGAAGAAAACATGTTGCAAGCATCTCCACTACACCCTCATCGACAGTGACCTCCAAAGATCCCCATTCTCCCGCCTCCCCTCAAACTCCTCCCACCCCCCACCCCCCCAACCACCCCCCCAACACACGTCTTTCCCAAGTTTCTCTGCGGATTTGGGCTTCTCTCAGCGAGCGCAGTCCAAACCCATCTTCAAAAATAAAAAAATAAAAAATACTTGGACGTTTTTTGGCTGGTCTGGTTTTGCCGGACGGACCCCCCCCGGTCCGTCTGGACCGGGCGTCGGCCTAACCCAGAAAAAAACAGCATACGCACCGCAGACTTTGCATCGACTACACTGAGGCGGCGCAAAACAAAATCACTAACTGCACAGTCCATACAGCATACGCACCACATACTTTGCATGGACTACACTGAGGCGGCGCAAAACAAATCGCTAACTGCAAACACAAAAAAAAAAAGAAAAAAAAAAGCATACGCACCACAGACTTTGCGTCCACTACACTGAGGAGGCGCAAAACAAATTCGCTGCGTTGTTTAGAAAGTGGAGGCGAGAACAATGCCCCCTCCAACTTCTCCTCCTGTGGCTCTGTAATAGAGACCAGCTTGACACGGCATTCAACCATCTTCTTTCCTGTCCAGACAAACATCGGCACACATACAATCCAACAGAGAGAGAAAAACGAACGGAGTAAGGTCCTCACTGCACGACTCACGAAATATAGAAAACGAGTCCCATGGAAAACGAGAATGAAGCTTCCCACAGACTGCACGACTCATGGAAATGCACGCCGCCATAATTTTTGCCTTTTGTGCATTTGGCGAGTGGTGTGGCAAGGCCCTAAGAGGCGCAAAGCAAAGTCACGTGAAAGTCAGTTCAACCCATTTAGTGCTGATGTGGCTCCGTAACAGAAACCGTCTACTTGGTACAGCACTCAACTATCTTCTTTCCTCTCCAGATAAATGCCCACATACATGTAACCAAACAGCCAAAAATGGAATCGGAAACGGACTACCTAGCAGCGCCCCCTTAACTTGCATTTTACGTGCTGCGAGACTGTGAATGAATAACAGTTTCTGAAGGGCTTGGGTGCCAACAGGAGCTTAGTAAGAAGTATGCAACTGACTGATGATGTGTCCATTTGACTCCATCTTCATTTTGTGCCTGAGTAAAGGTGGTGAACACAGTGCGGAAACGCAACATATGATCAAACACTGAAAAGGACAGACGAAGGGCGAGGCAATTGGGAATTCTTGGGAAGGAGAATTATGATCGCAGAGTCAAACAGGGCAACAAGTCGACTTGTCAGATAAAAACCCGAAGAATTTTGACAAGGTATGGGCAAATAAAGAGTTTGGGTCTCACTCCACTACTCACCATATGCACAAAAGACAAAGTATGGCGTGTATCATCCCATGTTCAGAATAAGATTCATTCTCATTTTGCACATTTGGTGACTAATAGAGCGAGGCCCTTCATGTCTCGTACTCTGCAGGATTACGGTTCATACACAACGGCCACGCAGAAGAAGGCGGTCGTAACAAGTGCCTTGGACAGAATACAGCCGATGACTACTCCTGATGACCTTCCAGGAGTACGGTCGTTGACATTGAAGACACAATTGAGGATGCAAGGACATCCCGCGCGGTTCTCTACTGATTGCCTGTGGAAAGTCATTAAGAACTGTGTGCCTACCTGGGAAAAATGGGGCCAGCTACAGTGCGAACGATGAAACGTACCAGAGGCGTGGCACAGGACTGACACGGAAGTCTGGAGGTTTCGGGACCAGAAAGGGTACTATGGCCTGAGACGTAAGAAAATAAAGTGCACTGCACGCAAAGGAGAGAAGGATACAGGATGAGGGACAGAAAAGGAGTACCTGGGCTATTTGGGAAATGATTAAAACAAACCAGAAGTGTCGGACGTGCCTCAAAGTCAGTGGGAGGACCCAAGAAGGGTGATGAAGTTTCAAGGTCAGGGATTTGGCCGGGACCAGGAAGGATCCAGTACTGTCGGTACCGGGACGGGAAATTGGGACTTTCTGAAGGGACAGGAGGAACTGGGACGGTGAATGCTACGACAGAATGGCCTGAAGTACTGTATGGAAGTTAAGTACTGTATGGAAGTTAAGTACTGTATGGAAGTTAAGTACTGTATGGAAGTTAGAATGTAAGGATTTCCGACGTACGTCAATGCATCTCAAAGAGTCGCCGCCCTCTGATGAGGCTGGTTCTTGCTAGCGCTATGCTCTTGACATACGTCGCAATCCGGCGACAAAGGACCGAGTGGTGCACACTGTACCTTGGCTATGGAGTTCCTGGGTCGTTTCATTGCTATCTTTCAAAGTTGAGACTGTTCAAGATTTCGACAAGATTGGTCCGCTCATCATTTGATTATATGTGCTTGAGTGCATAAGCTGCTATGCGGTGCGTGCACAGTCAGGCAGCCTATGACTCACACTCATCTGCACGGGGCTGCACTAACATGTACAAACTTGCACATGGCTGCAAATTAACAAAACGACAGCCTTTTGAGAAATGTGAGAAATCAGACTAAATGGATGACATTCTATAGTTAGTCTGATTTTGTCGACATTCCATAACACAAAATGGCTACAAAATTACGGATTCCATAAAGGCTCAGTCTCTGTGAAACTTATACCCCAACCCCCCCCAAGAAAGAGCACAATTGTACACGGTGATTAACACAGATTCTATGTTTTTGTAAATTATTACTAAAATATGCAAAGCGGACGCCAAGGTTCGGATGCCCAGGCCGGGCCTGGGAAGAGTCTGCCCATGAAACCGAGTATAGTCAGAAAATGGGCAAGGGGAGTACCAAGGACTCGGAAAAACAAAATTCTGACTTTCAGGTCAGGATTGCAAGACGCCTGAGCACAGGGTCAAGGGGTTAGAAGCTTTGAAGGGGCATAGCGTTTTCTATTTGATTTTCATGTCGATATTAGTGAGGGATTTTTTCTCCCATACTTTAGTATTCTGCCCCACTCTTATCTCACAATCCATTTCCAGTCTTCGATATTCTTCCCTCAAACGGAAACTTTATGATACACCTAACTGTTTCTCCAACCTCCAGTCTGCACACCACATTTCAGAGTTCTTCTCCCTCTCTCTCTCTCTCTCTCTCTCTCTCTCTCTCTCTTACACACACACACACACACACACACACACACACACACACACACACACACACACACACACCTCCCGAGTGAGCCTCTGATGATGCTGTACTGGCAGCAGTAGAAAAATGTCGGGCGTTTTGCCAGGATGCGGAAGGCGGGATGCTACCCTACGCATCAAGCTCCAGCTTCATGATGACACCTTGGACATGAGTTTTCCACGCTTATCCTACGTAATTTTTCGGAAGGGCTTTTGTGTTCTATACCTGTGTCGAGTGAGATTTTGTGGGCTTCGTGACACTGTCTCGAGTCTGGTTGTGTGAATGAGTGTGTCTCGCAGAGGAATGTGAATGGGCATCTCACAGATCCGGACGTATCTCTGTGCATGTAAGGAAGGAGTTTTCGAATCTGGAATGGCGTAAAGTGTATAGGATGTGCGTATGATGAATGGTAATAATTGCGCGTATATAGAGAGTATTGGAGTTGTGACCTCTCCGAGTACGGTGCTACAAGGGACAAGTGATATAGGGACGGACTGATTAACGCAGCACGGAACCAATGCTCTGCTGAAAACCTAGCGCTTCATCAAGCGTGCCAGGCAAGAACATGTGCTATCACGTTTGTCCGAGCACCAGCATGGTACTACTTTTGACTCAGTTTTGAGCCCAGGACCTCTCACAGAAGACCACAAAGATGTTCCGTCTGTCCAAAACATCACAAGTGCCTTGAATAGTCTGCTTGCAAAAGCAACGATATTGGTTTGCTGTCCGGAGACAGGGGGTGTTGTCTTGTATTGTTTGCTAAAAACACCGCCATACAAGTAGCATAACTATGGGCCGTCAGAGCGCTGTCACTACCCAACTGGGTTGGTGTGCGGCTGTATCATCAACTTCTGCATCCAAATTCAGCAGCCACATAAAATTTGATTCAGTCTACGAGTAGCATTTCCAAGTTTCAACGATTAGAACAAGCATTTCAGCCTTCACCACAAATGGGATGACCTTTATGAATCACCTAGTTGTCCTTGGAACAAGAAGGGCAGTGGGGGTAGCAGCACTGGAAAATTTTGAATTCATATCCTCACCTCGTCGTCGTGGAGTCCCTCTGCCGAGCGAGCTCTGTCGAGCTAATGGAATTTGCAATCCAAGAGCGTTTTGCCGGCCCAGAGATCCGACTCTTCCCACCGAATTTTGTCGACCAAATGACGAAAGCCTTGCCAGCATATTCTGTTTCTCCATGAACTGTTGCTTGCGCACCGCACTTGGGTTTTCATTCACCCAGTACTCTGACAGCTCCATCCTAAACCTGCAGACCTCACCTTTCCTCATCGTGGAAACACACGTGTCCAAAGGAGGAATGACAGCACCGCTTCCCAACTCGAACTCGAAGTTGGTGTTCTCTTCTAGCAGCTCTTTATCTGTACTGCTCATGTACACCACTCTTTCCCAGCCATCTTCTCGTTCTCGCTCCAAAGGCAAGTCGCATACAAGCTCATGCATCGTGTAATCAACGCAAACCATCGAGCCCGCGGATGGGGGAATATCTCCCTCTCCCTCTACAAGCACCTCCTTTTCCGGTAACCTCACCTCTTTCTCAGCTGCAGGAGAAGGCATTGCTTTTGAGGCATCCACCTCCCTCTCCCGCGACTGATTAACAGCATTCATGTCAAGCGATAACGACCTCCTGCTGCTGCCGTTCCGAGAGACGAAAGGAGGCAGCGATAGCACAGGAGCAGTACTCGGGCCAGCAGTCATCGCTGTCATGGACGGACAATCCTCCTCCTCCTCCGGCTCATAGTAACCCTCTCCCCAGGGGTCACTCCCTCCGTACGGAGGGAAGTCGTCATCCACTATCGGATTCAAAGCTCGGAGGTCGAGAACCCTTTGAATCCTGTGCAGGGCACCGAGAGCAGCACTGTGGCTTGCAGCACTTTGACTCTTGTATGCACGAGGGGACCGGCACTCGAAGCCTCCTAGCTCCGTAGGAAGCTTGACATGGCATATGTATTGACCTTTCTGTGTCCTCGCCGGGGACAACCCTTTGTCTAGTTGCTCCTCCGGTTTCCCACGATTTTCTGCTCCGGGGCTACGAACATCGATTCCCAGCCTCATTGTGCGTCCCTGCTCGATGTTCGTCACCGTAGACTCTTCCAAGGCCTTCCTTCGTTCGTCCTCCTTTTGCACCTGCTTCGTGAATTTCTTCTCTTGCTTTCCATCATCTGTGCAAGGCAGCTCCGTGGGCTCTGTACGAGGTGCCCCCTCCTCGTCGTCGGCCTCTCCACCCTCCTTCCAGGGAACGGCCTGCCCATCTTCATCAATCACATAGAACTTGTAGGCTGGACAGGGCTGCCCTTTTGTCAAGCTTGCCCGCTGTTGGCAGTACTCCAGCAACATCTGCTTTGGAAGCTTTCCTCTCCATGACAGCGGCGATGTGAAGGATTGCGGCAATTCACAGGCCACGACAGCCCCTCGGCTGAGCTTGTACATGCCTCTTGGGTTTCTGCTCATCATCACCCTGCAGATGCTCACCACACATCAAAATAACAAAGTGGATACAGTCACGAAACAGGAAAGCATCCCACACATGCAGGAGAGAATAGTGCAGGGGTGAAAAGTGACCGGGCTAGACATCACAGACGGTATGCTAGGCAGTTCCCATCCTAACTTCCGCACTTCCAGACAGCCACTCAGACCGTCAGAGTTCCTGGCTATGGATGTCTTGGTCCAGATGCTGTCCGGATGAAATAAAAATATATTATAGATACTAATTTAAAATTTAAAATTTAAATTATTTAATATAATAATAATTGTGGACAGCCTCGACTTTCAAAATTCAAAAGCTCTGGAAAAATCTTGTACTATTCAACATTGCAACACTTGCCTTGCTGTTTTAGTAGTTTTCTTAACTTTTTTTATTTTTCGTTTTGGTTTCTGCAATTAGTCGAGTGTGGTCTCCACTCTATCAATTGGCGGCAAGTTTGGTTAAAATGACCCTTGGGTTTTGACTGTTTTGTTATGAATGGCACGACAAATTGTCAGAAAATTTAGGCCTCCATTAACCTTCTCTCCGGGCGAGAGGGCACCCCTTGTCTGGATCAATCAGAAAGTCTGGATGGTATGGAGACTGTTCGGTGCTGGACTGTCTGGATTTCCCCGGGTCCACATTCACCTCTGGCAAAACCATGTGTTACTGGATCCATCAGGATTCGCAATCATCATAGGTTCGTCACCAGCTATGTGCATGTACCATTCAGTCACATGGCTGCGTATCACAGAGAACATTTTTCAAGCGTTTTCCGTAATCAATCAATAATACTCAATATACCAAAAGCTTTCCATATTTCAAGATAATTGAACTCAACCCCAAAATGCCATAGGGAAAAGGGCTCGGGAAAGAGTAGGTGGGGGGCAGCAGGGGGGGTTGGGTGCATGCATACAGGACACATCGGGAAGGTGTAGTCCCATACAACTCTGCTCAGTGCTTCCCTCAAAGAATCATACATACAAATCACCACCTGACACAGCCTCCGGTCATTTCATAACTTACTTGCAAGGACGCCACGTGAAGCGCAGTGCAGTGCATGCTACCTCCGGTTGCACCACACTGTGCCATACCAGGCCACACTGGAACGCACGACCGGAGCGGTACGGTCCACGCACAGCAAGGAGCAGCGCGGGAGCCTTTTTTTGTGTGTTCAGCTGTGCAGCCTAGTAAGAGAAGAGGAGAAGGTGGGGAGGAGAAAATCCACAGAGGAAAAGGTGACTTGCAGAGTGCGACAAGCTGAGGTGAGGAGGAGGACGAGGTGATGAAGTGTGGAGGAGGACGAGGTGGTAAGGTATGGAGGATGACGAGGAGGAGGGGAGACGACTGGAGAGGACCATTTGACTGGGGGTGGTGGGAGAGACGAAGTTATCAACAGGTGACGAGGGAGGACAGCACAGCAGGAAGAGAGATGACGAGGAGGCGGAAGTGATGAGGTGAAGAGGAGGTGACAAGATGAGAAGAAGTCCAAGAAGCGGAAGAAGGGGAAAAGTACCAGGCAAGAAGGAGCAGGAGGAGAAAGAAATCAGTTGGAGAGGACGAGAAGAGGCGAGGAGGCGGAGAAAACGTGACGAGGTGAGCAGCAAGTGAAAAGGCGAAGAGGAGGAGACGACGAGATGAGAAGTTAAAAAAGGAGGGGGAAGAGTACAGGGTGAGGAGGAGGAGGAGGAGGACGGAGTTGGAGGGGACAATGAGACGCGCTGAGGAGGAGGTCGAGGGGACAAGGTATGGAGGACAGTGAGATGACGAGGTGGAGAGGAGAAGAACATCACGAGGTAAGGAGGTGAAGTGAAGGAGGAGGAATGGCCAACGCGAGGAAGAGGAAGTAACGAGGTGAAGAGGAGGTGACGAGATGAGAAGTCCAAGAAGAGGAAGAAGGGAATGTGTACGGGACAAGAGTAGAAAGGAGGGGATGACAAGGAGATGAAGACGGTCAGTTGGAGTTGATGGGAGGAGAGGATTAGGATTTCAGGGGCTGGTGGAAACAGAGGTGGTCAGGAATGGACACAGTCCGCAGGTGGGTGCTCCATGGCTGCTTGCGACTACAGAAGTGAGGACGAGGAACAACACAGCACGAAGGAGGCTCCAGGGAGGTCGCAGAAGAGGGGCAGGAGCATGGCCGCACACCAGAAAGACAAGCCCAGGCCCACCGCCTTTTCTTTGGAAATTTGAATTGTCACCAGGCAGAGGCCCCCTCACCAAAAAAAAAAAAAAAAAAAAAAAAAAAAAAAACATTGTTTAGCAACCAAGCACGCAGCCATGGGCAACTCCAGGGGCCACGTCCCCATTTAACGAGATCTTTCATTTCTGGCCATAGATGGTGTCTGAGTCAGTGGCCAAAATCGAAGGATCCAGGATAGCAGGACCTCATCGCTGGATTTCAACAAGCTCACAAGGACACTCTGGCCTTGCATCTTGCTGCTCGATGTTTTCGTGAGTCTATGCCGCGCACTGTCCGTAATTCTTTTTATCTTGTCCAGCTTGCCTCTTTCTGGTGGGTTCCTTAGTTATGATCTTAAACCACAGCTACCTTTCAGAGGCAACGGCTAGGTCGTGAATATAACCTATACCAGGGTTGTTTTGGCGCCTACCGCCTACGCCTACCAGTCGGGCCGACCCGTAGGGGCACCCGTCGGCGGTCGGCACACTGCCTAAATTCTTCTATTTTTTTTTCTGATTACATGGTCGTGTGCGGCTTGAGGAGAGCAGCCCAAATCCGCAATAATTT